GGTTAAGTTTAAAATGGGAGCTTCCAGGTGATGCAGCAGTTTGTAGATAGATGTTGTACACAACAAGACAACACACGACTGCAACAATAACTTCTGCACCTCCAAACGCAGAGCATTTGTGATGGATTAAGAGAATATTCATAGTGCAGAAATGTAGTGTGATGATAACTGGGGCGCTTGAATGCAACTTAAATTCAACAGTAACAATAACAAAAAATCTTCACCTGAATAAAACTGAAAAATAAATAAATAAAAACAAGACTGTCTTTTCAAGATAAAAAGAATAAATGTATGACTGCTCTAATATATCCACTATCAGATTCATGTCTCACACAAAACTCCATGATGTGTCTTCAGACTCACAGCAGGTGGAAACTGCAGCCCGACTCCATCAGAAGAGAAATGAAGGTTAAACATGAAGAAACAATCAAAGAGAAATCTGAACTTTGTAACAAATTTATTCCATAAAATACACTTAAAAATATACTTGTATATCGCTCTGTGAAGCAGTGCTGCTACATCCACACAGACAGACGGCTGCATTTCCACTGAGAGGAAGTGAAATCTGAAGAATGGACAAGGAGGAAACAGACGAGTCGACGGCTGTTTGTTGTAAACTGGAGCTTAAATTTGGTTTGGACTCAGTGGAGATGCAGCCGAACCGCCGAATGAAACATGACAGACACAAAACAAGTCAAAGATTCTGATGTTACACCTCATCGGTCCTCTGATTCTCAGCAGGTGAATGTGGTTAAAGGGATAGATCAGATTTTTTTGTAGTGGGGTTGCATGAGTTACTTACTGATGTCAGTCAGCACGCCCCAGTTTGGAGAAGCAGACAGGAGTCCGACACAGAAGCTCAGTAATGTACTGTTGTGGACAGGGGCAACAATAACACATATTTTATCCACCTAAAAAAATCATTATAAGTTTAAGTGTCGGCCATATTTAGAACATTTTAACCTTGCAGTCAGACAGTGATTTCCGACGGGAAAATGAAGCTGCTCTCTTCAAAGCCAGACTCCATTGAGAAAAACAGTAATTTAACATCGCTGAACACAGGAGCTGCTGGTCTACTGCTGCCTCCATCAGTTAGTTAGTTTGTGTTATTGTGTGACTTTGGTGTTTTAAAGGGTTAGTTCAGATTCACCACAGTCACACAATAACACTAACTAAGTGATCGAAGCAGCAGTAGACCAGCAGCTCCTCAGTTCAGCCAGCTTAAACTGCTGTTTTTGTAAATGGGGTCTGGTGGCAGCACAGATTGGTAACTGAGGACCGGCTGTCTGATGAAAAGGTGAAGCAGTGAAAATATTCTAAATATAGTGTACACTTAAATTGATATTGATTTTTTTAAGCGTGTAAAATCCATTTTGGTGCTGACAGCAGCACATAGCTGAGCTTGTTTCTCCAGCCTGATGAGGACGTGTCGACCGACATTTACTGTCGGCAACATACTGACTGTGGAAAATGACTGATACAACTCCACTTAAAAAAATCTGAATAATTCCTTTAAATGGAGTTTACAAGAAGACAAGATGTTTGTGTCATTTCGATCGATTCACAGAAACTGTATCTGAAAAAATGAACTCATTTCGAACTTAAAGGGATAGTGCACCCAAAAATGAAAATTCAGCCATTATCTACTCACCCATATGCCGAGGGAGGCTCAGGTGAAGTATGGAGATATTTTGTGGTTTCAATGATGTGTTTTTGGACGTTTGAATCTGGGGCGCCGTCAGCCTCCATTAGGTGGAGTTCTGTTGCTACCTCCTCTCCCCTTGGATCTCCGCAAGGGATGTGAGGACTCTAAAACTTCACCTGAGCCTCCCTCGGCATATGGGTGAGTAGATAATGGCTGAATTTTCATTTTTGGGTGCACTATCCCTTTAAAACCTTTTCTTTTCAAACTGTTTCAAACATTTCTGCAGCGACCATGTAAACATTTAGTCACTCAGATCAGAGTTACTAAGGATTTCTCAAACATGCAGCATTGAAATGAAAGCACACTTAGAAACAGGCCACAGCTCAGAGGTTTGTGGTCATTAGATTCATCGAACAGCTCAAAGATTTGTTGTTTTCTACCAGGATCATTCTGTTATGGCAAACACTGGGCTTCATGCAGGAGCCTCCTCTACCAACAGATTGTGAGTGGCATGTACGAATGACTGAAGAGAATAATCGAGCTGTCGTACGAGTCACAGACTGATGGTTTAACTTCTTTGGGAAAAACAAAACTACAATTTCAATGAAATGGAATAAATATGAGGTCTAAACTATGATAAAAAATGAAACATTATAATTTCTGTCAATGCAATCTGACAACAAATGAACAGGTAGCTTTACATTACAATGTGAGGGCAGCGAGTGTGCTAATGATCAAACCTCCTCACGAACACTCTGAACATTTGTTTGAGCAAAACTGACCGTGTGTTAAAAACAAGTGTTCTCACATGAGGCCCTTTGAATCTATGCAAACTCATTTCTGCCTGTGATGAAAAAAAATCCTCTAAGTTATTAAAATGAGAAACTTTCTCCAAATAATGACTTCCTATCATTTCTTATTACTCTGAGATATGAAGTAATTATTTTGAAATACTAAAATACTATATAATATTATTTCAAGATAAATAGGTCATTATATTTAAATACAAAGTCTTTATTTTGAGATAAAAATAATAATATTCTAATAATATATAATATAATGACTGAAAGAATTTTGGCAGAAATGGGCTTCCATAGATCCTTTATTCAATCTTTTATTTTTCGTGTCTGTAAAATATTAATTATTGGAATCAGCCTTTAATAATTTTCCACATTTAACTGTTAACGTTCGTCAATAAAACATCTCTGAGCAAAAACATGGAGTGTTTGAATACAGTATCTGTTGTAGTGCTCTGTCATGTGATTTTGGGGTTTCAGGCATAAACGCCTCTCATTAATAATAAGCAGTTATGTTTTCACATTGAAAGTACAGAAACAGACATGCTGTGTTTGTTTGGAGCCCCGGGGGTTAAAATCTGTACTGAGCAAGTGGTTAATTTGCACACAGTCAGGTTGTATTCATGAGAACAACATCCTCTGACCTTCAGAATAAAAGTGCTTGTAGGGCAAACCGTAAACTCGATACACACGACTTCTGTTAAATTCTTTTTAAAACCTTTTCAAGATCATTTTTAACCAAATTTAGGACTGATGTTATGACTAATCATCTCTTTTTTAAATGCTCTCTCAGGCTGTCTCTCTCATAAACGTCTCATTCTGAGGTAACGGGAACATAATAAATCTTATTTTCAGCTGATTGTACATTCATTGAAAACAAACTGATTATATTATTTGTCCCTATATATCCCCCTGAACCCTACACACTGGAGCTTTAAAGATTTGTAACGTCAGAAATGTGGAATTCAACTCATTTTGACAAAAAGAACAGATGAATGAATGAAATTGGATCAAATCTGTGAGAATTTAAACCTTACAAAGTTAAATGTAAAACTATTTAATGACTTCTAAGGCCTAATATTTATAAAATTAAATATAAAAGATTTGAAATCCCTGGGCGCACCGCAGCTTCGTCTAAAACAGCTTGTAAAATTATCATCAGTCACAGCAGTGCCGCTGTCATCAGCAGAGTGCTGGTAGTTTCATTCAAAGTCTTTAGTCAGCGAAGCGTCAGGATGCAGAAACAGGAGACGGCGCAGCTGCTGTGAAGAAGGCGCTGTAGTGAGGCTGAATATAACATGAATATTACTTGTAACTGTGCATATTGTACTTGTATAGTGCTTTCAGCTGGTCGTGCTCATGCAGCATCTCCACGGTCACTGAGTGGAGGATAAAAAAAATCATTCTCACATCCTGATTGTTTTTTAGAGCGGAGGAGTGATGTGAACAGTTTCCTCCAGTCAGCAGCTTCAGCTTGATCTGATGTGATCACAGGATGAATGCATGAATGTGAATGTGTGCATAGTCTCTTTCAATTTATCCATCAGATTCACTGCTTTATCATTTTCCCTGTGTGTGTGTGTGTGAGGTCATTAACGTGTTCCTGACTTTGTCTCGTCCCTTATTCATCACTTGTTTCACACCAGGGTTTCACATTTCATGTTTCCCTGCTGATGTAAATCCAGTCCTCACATCTATTTTCATCCCTTTTCCAGTCTTTCACTCCAGACCCTCTAAAACCACAGGTCTCTATAGTGACGTAAAACACCACATTTATCACTGAAAAGCAGCAGATTGGTCTTTAAAACATGAACCTGCTGACTGAGTGCTGGAGTAATGACTAAAATGTTTGTTGCCATCAAAGACTGACAATTTAATGCCGCTCTAATGCTGCGTTCACGTGCAGTCAGGGAGACGGTACAAAGCAAACCAGAAATCATTTTGTCGGGCGAGAGCAGGACGGTAAAATGAGGCGAGAACGTCGGCAACATTAATGGTATATGACACTGCCGTTCAAATTTAAATACTCTTATTGTCCTCCATGACAGAATTTACAATCAGATGTTACGCAGCTTCCTCACCAGTGTTGGGATGGTTATTTTTGAGATGTAATCGGATACAGATTGCTAGTTACCCTGTTAAAAATGTAACAACTAAAGTAACTGTTTTAATAACTTCATCAAAGTAACTTATTACATTTGATTACTTTTCTAACAAATGTTTTCAACTGGGCCTTAAAGTCGCAGAAATAATCCTAAAAACATAAGTGCACAAGTTTCAACTCAAATTTGTTTGACGGCTTTGCTGACCTGCGCTGTCCAGAAATATGCCCACAAAAATAAAAAATGAAAACATTCCTCACCAGGTGAAAAGATGCAGAGCAGCACAATGAGTGTTACATTTAAACTCCTTAACCAAGAGAATATATCTGGATGTAACTCCATTGTAATCACCAACATCTTGATCAGTAACTGTAATTTAATTACATATTGTTTCTCAGTAACTGTAGTAACACTGTCCCTCACACAGGGAGAAAACACACCTGATCTGGACATTACTGGAAAATTATATAATTCATTTTATTTAATGCTTTTTATTTCAGTCTTTGTAAACAAAATGACCTCACCATGGCAACGTGTCCTCATGCATGTTTCATTTTACCATCCTGCCCACAGTCTGTATAAAGCCTGGAGGTGGCCGCTTGGTCCTGCAATTCTGTCAGACTGTTTGTTTGTTTTTGTTTGTTTTTCCCCGTGTCATCCAGAATCTGTTTCCGTGTCCCGTCTGCCTGATTCCATGTGAACGCAGTGTAACTGCTGAATACTACATACTGGCAACATTTTCATATAAACTGTCCGCTGCAGGTGAAAACATCCCAGTGCTGCTTTATGATTCAAAAAAGTGCAACAAAATAAGTTTGTTCCTCAAATCTATACTGTAGTCTTAATAAAAGCAAAAGTATATTCAGTAAATAATCCTGGCCGTGTTCACAAACATTCTGGGCACAGTTTTATAAAAGTGCTACAGGGTGATAAACCTAAAGGTGGAGTCACAGCTGTGCATTCAGGTGAGCAGCAGCTGGAGATACCTCAGGTGTAATATCTTTCTTTCAGTTGTGATAAACTATTTACTGAAGATTGTCTCACCACTGAACTGATTATTGCTGTTTAATCTACAGCTGATGTCATTGCCTTTACATTCTTTATATAGAGTTTCTGACCTGTACCTGCACCGCAGGTCATGTGGTCCCTGTTTTGTTCGTCTCGAGGACTCAATGTACATGGGACCTGCTACACAGTCCTGCCAATGGTTTCACACGATCCCACTGACCTACAGGTGGAGGTGTTCAGTCCCTCCAGGATGTCACTGCAATTGTTGCGGCCCGACATGTTTGATTTTATGGCAGCTTTTCTCACAACTTGAGATTCATGTAACAATGTTTTCAGGCAGTTTTTTGCAGAAGCAAGTGAAAACTGCAAAAACCGTTGCGATGCCGTCACGGGTTTGAAGCACATTATGAGCATTCAGTGTTTCTCACAGAATTAGAATCTATCTGTGATGGCGGGGTGATCAGTGACGATCAGCTGTTGCTGCAGTTTGACGCAGCACTGGAGGCCCGTCTCTGTCACCTGCTCCCCTCCTGCTGTCCCTGCCCGGTGAGAACAAGCTAACACAGCAGCAGCGGCTGACACGTGACATGGAGCCGTTAAACAGTCCCAACAATCTCCCACCGACACCAACACGGCTCGACTGTCATTAAAGCTGTTAATAAACATTGAGTAACGTTAGCTGTGTGATGCTAACAGTTAGCCCTGTCACTGTGCGTCTCTGTCACAGAACAGCAGCAGTTTCATGATAAACAGAGAGGGAGGCTGAATGAATCGATACACCGCACACAGATCCACTTTGAAATGAGATTTTACCTGTTTTAAACAAATTTATGTTGAAGTTGTAGTAATTGCACTAAATTGGCTGATTTGGGTTACGCTGGGTTCAGACTACTAAACATTTTTATCCATGCAGACAGTCAGATTAGACGACTGTGGAGTCATAAAATCTTGCCGTGACTTGGCCGACAGACATGACACACTACACACTGGTCCACGACCAATCATCTCCGATCGTCTTTCACAATGTGCGTGACGTCATCGGATTATTCTCATCCTGTTTTTTATTATTGTTACTACTATTATTTCAGTCTGTGTGTCTGTTCATGTCCCAGCAGTAATGTTACTGTAGTACCGTAAAAAGTGTCACAAGATGGGCGGAGCTACATTTTAAGTACCACATAAAAAAATGAAATGAACGGGGGCTTTTAATCTGAAACTGATACAGGAAGTGTTGCGTTTGAAATGACGGCACAACGCATTAAATTTAACAGGATGAACAGGAGCGGATTAAACTAAAAATAGAAGAAAAATGACATCCTGTTTCTAATGTAGTGTCTTAGAGATGCAGCTGGGAGCCTCTGCAGCTGTGCTGAGTAAAGGACCAGACACTATCTGTGAGTTTGATTCCTTTATATCCTCCATTATGAAGAAAGAACATTGTTTGCTAGCTTGATGCTAATGGCAGTACTCAGCGGGTTGATAATCAGCTGTTTCCTTTTTACTGTGTGTGCTAACGTCCCTACAGGAAATATCTGAAAGGCTGCGCTATTGTTGTCGTACAGTTTCCACGGCAACAGATCGCTCTGTGTTCCTATTGGTCAAAGTGACGGCTGTGACGGGAGAAGTCGTGAGAGACAAAAAGAAAATCAAACAGGCTAGACTTTCTGTCGGGACATCGTGAGGCGTCCAAGACGTGGCGTTAGCTGTTGTCTGCTATGACAAACTACACAAGATAAAACGATGGATTACTGCGCAGGACCGTCACTGTCATTCATGATCCGAGCCGATACTGGTCAATGCCATGCCGAGCTGATTTTGTGTAGCGTGAACCCGGCATCAATTGCTGCGATCGAAACATCCTGGAGGGACTGAGTGACAGAAATACAGCAATAAACAAGCAAAGGCAGCAGAGAATAATACTGCAAGCTGGTGAACACAGATAGAACCCTGTGTTTTCCTCTGCTCCCCAAAGCCTTACACATTATATATTCATGTATTTGGATTTATATATTTCAGATTTCTTTCTCCAAACTGTAAAATAGTTTTAAACCATTTTCAGTGCCAACATGCTTTGCAGGTAGCTTTTCATTACTTGGATTTAGTTTTAAGGGAAATTGTTTGACAAAATTCTCCCTTTATGAATTTTCGTAGACCATCACAACACTGACTCCTAACAATTGTACAATACGTGAATACGGCTGCAGATCTGTCTTTTTTTAAGGATTATTGTGAAGTCAGAGCGACCCACACTTTGGAATAAAAACAGGAAACCTCCTGATCTGAAGCATCAGAGTGTTTGTGATCACTGAACCGGTTTAAGGCTTTAAAGGATGATTGATCACATGATGATGCTGACGGAGCGTCACAGCCACTGTTAGAAAACAAAATCAGAGACACTGAAAACAAAGTGGAAATACTTTGAGGAAAGAAGTTGTACTTTAAGAAAAGTCTTAATATTATCAGAAACAATGTTTTCAGACTTTATGCAAGACAAAAGTCACGATGCTATGAGACGGACAACACGTTATTATGACTTTTATTTGCACCTTTTTTTGCTCCATCATTACAATTTGGTTCTCAGATTTTTTATTTCAATGTTATTGTATTTTGACTTCTGACTAATATTATTTTATTTATTATATTTTCACTTTTTGCTCTTTTTTTTTTTTTTCATTTATTTAAAAAATTTTTTTAGAATAACAAATTTCCAAGTGATGAGAAACATTTTCTCATCACTTTATTCCCAAAATCTCTGATGTTTTTTCAAACAGTGGCGGCAGCACTCGTGTTGCAGTGTAGTGATTGTACTCTGCAGTGTGCACGTGTGTGTGTGTGTGTGTTGTTCTAGCCCTCCCCCTCGCTCTCCAGAAGGTTGTGTTTGACCAAAAACTCTTTGATGGTTGGCTGATTGTCTAGCCCCACCCTCTGCTCCTCCAGGTGCTGCAGAAGCTCCTCCCACTGCCGCTTGTCCCTTCCTGTTTGCCACGACAGCCGAACCACCGCCTGTAACAACGGCAACAGGAGGGGGTGTGGCCTGTCGAGGCGCCGTCTTGATGAGTCGTGCTGTTCAGTCAGTGGGCGGGGTTTATCTTGGAGTGGGAGGGGCCTGTCTCCCCCTGTGTCAGTCTCGGCGGGGGTCAGGACACGGAGGGCGAGGTCACAGTGATCCCGTGCCTCCTCCAGCTGGTCCACTTCCTGGAAACAGCTCGACAGTCCCACCAGGGTGAAGAACCAATGGGAGGAGGACGGGGGCGGGGCCTGAGCCTGGTTGTCATAGTAACTTGCCCAGCCCAGTTTGTGTTGCAGTCTCTTGGCGTTGAGCAGCGGACCCAAGGCCTCCTGGTAACGTCCAACCCTCAACGAGACAACACAAAACTCAAAACACCTGAAAATACTGAAGCTTCACGAACATCATAAAGACCACCCCCTTTATTCATCTGGAATAAAAAGATTCAAACAAACCTAAAGAGCAACATTAACCTTATTTTCAACAAATCATTTGCAGCTTAAATTACAGGTCAAAGGGTCGACGATATTTATTGTCAATAATTCAGAATGTGCAGCGGTTTAGATAATTATTCAAGATATAAACTGAGAGCAAACCCTGACTGCTGGGACCTTCGCTCAAATTTTCCTCTGATGCCAACAGAAACTGAGATATGCTGCTGCAGTGAATATCAGTGTGGGATGCATGTATTGGTGGATGCTGTAGCCGACGACAACCAAAGAGCCACTGCGCTAACGTGAGCCGCCGAGTGTAAAAGCCCGTCTACCTCACAATGAATGACAGTTTTACTCCTCACCTGGGTGGATGTGTGCTGGATGAACAAAACGGCAGATGGCTCAGCGCATCGCCGGTTGTTTCGGTCTTTTGTGCAAATTTTAGTCATTTTATTTTGCTTCTGCTTCTGAAGAACAAGTGAGGGCCACCGCTCTGTCGTCAGCTGAGAGACAGTGGGGAAATACAGCGTGTGGAGCATTTCACATCTTCCTCTGTGAATTAAGGATTTATTCCAAACCAGAGCTGGTAACTGTTGGAACATTGGAAAGACTGACCGCAACAGTTCTTGTGAGTTTTATTTTGTTTCTGTTCAGTCTGAATGAAGTGCGTAAATATATTGGCAATCACCGGTTGTTGGGCTAATGTGGGCTGGTTGAAAAATTACTGGAGACTTCCTTCAGGATCCTGAAGATAAACTAGAACACACAGCCGAGATCAGCGGGGCCGACAGGCAGATGACCACTGAGTGGGTATTTTGTCATCTAACCCTAATACAAGCTGTAGTTTGTTGAGTTGCTGTTAAGCTCAGTCAGAGGAATTCAAATCACAGCGGCGGTGGATGAAAATCTGACAACTAAAGTCAAAGACACATTTCTACAGATTTTTACTACGTAGAGTCGAAGATTATCAGCCAGGTGGCGGATTTAGATACCTGGTCTTATGCTCCAACAGAGCTGGTCTTCAAACATCCAGCTGCTGCTGCTACGTCACCGAAAAATACATTTTGCCGTCTTATGCCACCTGCTCGAGTTTATATGAACCTAAAGATGTTTAATTTATAAAGTTAGAAAATGTAGAAAAGCAGAAACTCGCATCGAGAAACATAAAGATTATCAGTCTGATAATCTGACTGATAATTTTGATCATTTGAACTTGTGTCAGATCCATCTTCTCATCCAGTAGTCAGAGGTTTAGACAATCATCTCTGTCAGTGTGTCAGTTACCTGATGAGCAGCTGTCCGGTCTGCAGGTCAGTCAGGTAGAAGAACTGTCGGACACACAGCGCCCCCCGCAGGGCCGACAGGGAACACAAGTGAGACAGATACTGCTCAAATGCTCGGCTCCGCTTGGCGATCGTCTCTGCCGTGAAGTTCCTGCGCAGCTTCTTTCCTGCAGAGGTTAAAAAAGGAAGCGTTGGGATTACAGTGTTTTATCAGTGAATTTTAACAGTCCTGTGTAGATGAGTCACAAAAATGTCCACAAAATTTCATGTTCCGTGTTTCAAGTGATCATTTCAGCCCAAACCATTATCCCATAACCAAGTGCTGTTTGTGCCTAAACCTAACCAGACCTTAACCACAGCTAGCCTGGAAATCCAGACCCAAATCTAGAAAGATTTAGGGTCTGGCCATGAGTAATGCAAATGGCCCAACTCGAGGGGCGGCACCAAGCATGCATTTGTAAATATCACTGCACGCAATTGGATAACACTGCGACCAATCAGAACAACACACGGGGTGACGCATACGCTTAGCTACCAGTGGAGCTAACTGGTAGATTAGACTCTTGCCGTATCCGGTCGGCAAAACAGCAAAAACGTCCTTCTTGCAAAGGAAAGATTCGAGCGCCGTCTTCTGTTCCTCTTTTAGAGAAAAAGCCAAGTCTAACTCGTTCATTGTAGCGGCCAAAGCCGTTTCAAACAACTGGTGTTCATCCGTAGCCATCTTGCAATGTTTACTGACTGATTCCGGACTTCGTCGTCGCAGCGCTGTCGTCATCTGTTTAGCTCGCCTCTGGCCCGCCTATATCAGATAAACCAATGTGATTAGTGCAACTAGGATACAAAGGCATAGGTAATGAACATCATTACTGATTGCCAGAGTGACTTGCTGAGCAAATTCAAATTGTGCTCTCGCAAGAACTCCAGGGTAAACCACAGCACTGTCACACCATAAAACGGCAAGACATGAATATTTCGCAAGAGTTTCGCAAATCTAGGATTAACATCTAGTCTTCAGAGACAGACTGCACAATTTCTAACTGCCACAGTAAACAGTTTAATGCTTTCAATGTTGTCACTAACGCTGGCGGATTCAAGGCTCCTCGTCACCAGTGTGCCTCTCTGACCTTTCTGTAAAATTCACCTAGAACACCTCTTCAAGTCATACCCAAAGCAAACTGAAAGCTGCTCTTGCTCCATTTTTAGTATATATATACACGCATGGTCTCATTTTATAAGATTTTATTTTATAACACTGAAGATTTTTTCCCAACAGTCAGAAGCACTGTAAGTCTACACACTGAGATAAAATGTTTTTTTGTCTCTGTAGTGTTCAACGCTAAGGTTTTTTTTCACTTGCCCGGTCAGGCAAGTTGGTCAGAGATCTACTTGCCCGAAGTCAGTTTTTACTTGCCCTATAAAAATTGTTTAATTTAAGCAGCTATCAAATAACAAAGACTGCAGTTATTTTTATGTTATGTAATCTTTATTCACACTGTATTTATTAATTAAAACAACATATGTCATGTATTGTAGCTTAATTCCTACACAAAAATGACAGTGTCAGGGCTTAAAGTGAAAAATTTGTCAATCGTTCTCCGTCTATAATTTTGCGCCCTACTTGAGCCATGCCCACCTTTATTTATTTTTCACCCCTCTCTCCAGTTCTGCTGTATTAACACTGGGTTTAATATATTTTGCTTCCACCTCTCTGCCCTGCTCTACTCTACTTCAACACTACTTAGCTCTCTCTCTACTCTACCAGTAGACTACCACATCCACCTGTGGCACTAAACGCACACAGCAGTGTTTCCCCTAGGATGGAGTTGTAGCAGCGGAGGTGAAGCACACGCATGAAAAATAATTTTCACATGCGTGAAACTTTTTTGTATGCTTGCAAAGCACAGCCTGCTGGGATGTTTCTATGTATCTACTGGCACCAGAAGGGCTCTTTAGGACTAAGTACATACAGTACATGTGTGCACAGTAATGAGCAGGTGAAATGTCTGTCTAGCTGACATATGAGGTGTCTCAAGATTTAGGAACATACAATTTTATTGAATATAATAAAGTAAAAAGTCACTTGACATGCTGCTGTTTTGTGCTATGACCTATTTAAGTGTTGGAAGTTGTTATTTACGTGACAACGCCTGAACGCAACACAAGCTCCGCATGAGTGCCGTACTGAGCTGCTGTGCGAGCAGCATGTTTGTCTGTGCATAACAGCAGTCTGTTGGTTATTTACACAGTGTCCATTTCAATAACTTTGTCAGCTGACAAACTGCACCGGGCTCGGGGTCAGGTTTGGTCAGGAAAATGCGGCCCGAGCCGCTCTAGCGTGCTCACCTGTGTGTGTGGCGGAACTCCGCCGTGCGCGATACAGAGAGCAGAGAATTGTTCATGCGTGACCATGTAGAGACAAAAATGACACGATGGCATAACACCATAAATAGTATATTGTTATGTTATTATATGAAGCGTCTGTCGCGCAAAATAATATCAATGGGGGCTGTGGGCAGGACATTGTTACACAGCTGTGTCTGTGACTTCAGGCAGAGAGACCACTGCATCAGAGCCGAAGAGCACGTTTTAAAATACATTTATTCTATCAATTAGTTATTAACTTTGACTATTTTTAGCAACTTGCCCGATCGGGCAAGTGAGTTGTTAGTTTACATGCCCGACCGTGAGTTTTACTTGCCCCGGGCAATCGGGCAATCCTTATTGTTGAGCCCTGCTCTGTCTGAATATTTTCCTGACGCTGCAGATGACTAGAACTGGGAGGTATTAGCTGGAAAACACAGAGGGACCATACCATGAAGCATCACATTGTCCAAATTCAAAGTGGATAACAATATCACAGAAAATAAACATTTTACATACGTTTTTCTGAGGTTGTGTCGACGTGCTTTTTAAAACAAGACGGTAAAACAATGATCTGAATTTGTGAACATGAGTTAAAGACTAATAAACACAGACAGAAATGTCTATTGAGGAGCTTGTTGTTTATACAAACACTGCTAGAAAACCTCATCTGATGAGAAAGACTGTTTCCGTTTGTTTATCATTTCTGTACATGTATAACAGTCTGTGGTGACAATAAAGGGGTTAAAAGTGTCATTGACTATAAGACCCATAATCCTCAGGTGAGGTTGGCCAATCACTGACTCTTTAAAACCTCTTGCACTCCTCCCCCATTTTGTAGCAAAAACGCCTAAAATGACATACCCAAATTAAAATGACTGTAGCTTCTGAACCGCTCTGACTACATGCATGCATGAGGCCTTGCCAGAAAGAAAAGGCTAAACTCTCTGAAGTTTCTTGTGAAAGTGTCAGAAACACTCTAGGTGATACAGAGACAGAGTAATGGGCCTCTGAAGTCAGTAAAAAATTGAAGATTTTGCCTAAAATAAAATAAAAAATGTGTTTCAGGATGAATAACTGTCTGTGGCTTCATCTGAGCAGGTAAATGACACTGTGGGGCTGTAGGCACACTATCAATGAACATTTGTTTCAAATTTGAAGAAGACTGCTCAAAGTATGACCATTCTACAGTGTTTTTACCATGAAAAGATCCAGGCGGAGCTCCAGATGACAAGTCGGTCACTCGGCTTCAAAACAGTACTATCAGTGATCAAACAACACTCAGCCAGCTTCAAACATTGTACCTTATTGAAATCAGGTGTGATTATGATAGCTGATGTTGTTTATGACACAGAAACACCATAAAATATCACCAAATAAAGCCATATGAAACGTGAAAGTTATGATCCCACTTTCTAGACGGTATATCTCAGCCAAAAATAGTG